TTTTAGCCTTCTGAGAATTACGAAAATACTCGATGTAGGTGGGTGCGTGAGATAAAATTATATTGGGCTAAGTTTACCTTTTCAAGTGAATTTTACATTGTGAGCTAGACACTGAAATATCATCATCCTTTATGCTCGTATAAATAGAATTTACCTGCGTTGCTGTTTTCAATGTCAGTATGTTTTTATTTAGCAACCGCAAAAACTTTATATGGGTATTGTTAACTTAATGAAGGTTCTTTCAAATATTTGAAAATTTGCAAGGAAGACACTGCTCTTCAGCAGTTATCAGTTTACCTAATGAATGTTTTGGGTTAAATACACACACTGCAAGATTTCCTTTTTGGAAACTAGATGGCGTTATCTTGAGTTGCTACATCGCAGTAGCAAAGTATTCTTTCGATAGGTCAGGTAAATCTCAACCTTTTTAAAATTTCTCTCTCAGCATGTGTTTAGACTGCGTTTACATTTCCAAAGTAAGACGTAAAATCAATGCTGTCTATTCGGCGCTCACAGTACATGGGTCAGTTTGCAAACAGCTATTCGATTCCAGACTCGATCAATGGCCGCTCGTGTGCCGGCCATTGTGAAGATTCTCATTTGGTTATGAATACGCTTGTCTGTGATGCCGAAATAACTTTGTTACGAGCGAAGTGTACATTAGGGATCTGTATATCATTTTTCCTTAAGATCCATTGTACAGGAATATACATATAGAGCTCACAATGAATGAATCTGTGTTAACTGTCTAATACGAATGTGGTTTGGGATGGGGTGGTTTATGAATGTGTTATTTTATTATTTAAATTTTTTTTCCATGCCATCCTTTTCTACAAGCATTTACTTGGATTTTAACTATTTTAAAAATTGTGTTTTGGTATTGTTTAATTCGTAAAAAACAAAAATGTAGATTAATATCTTGGAACCCCATTCTATTTAGAGGACCTCTCTATTTATTTTTCATTTTGCAGAGGCCCCATCAATCGACCCAGAAAGTTTTTGTATCATTAGATTTATCATACTTTTGTGGTTGCTCCTTATGTCTGTAATTCAGGAAATGTCTTTGTTCGAAGAAGAAATCAACAGTATTAAATACTTAAAATAGTTAAGATTAGGGCTTCCTTAACTTTTTTCTATGACGCCCTTGATAATGTGCCATATTTCGCCCCAAAGCATCGCGACACATAGCCTTGGAAAGCCCTGTATAACTAAGATGCGCGTAAATTTTTATCGAGGCAATTTATCGATTTTTCTCGAATAATGATTGTCGTCTAAAACTTTAACATAATCAATAAGTTTTTATCACAGCGCGTTCTAGCCCGGCTGGAATGGATACAGAAAAAATCTAAATTCCCGTTGTTCAGGTCGACGCAACGACAGCAGGTGATGTTGGTTTAAGCTTTGTCCATGTTTTTTTTTATCCGCGACTCCACTCGTGTGGATTTCAGTTTGTACAGAAAGAAATAGTTTGTTACTAACGTTTGAAAAATTGTTTCCTATGATAAAAATATGTATCTATGAATTCGAGAAGGTTTGAAAATATCTTGTTCTATCGTATGGGCTAAAATGCCTAAGGTAGGTATACAAGGTTTCGTACGGAGCCCATAATGTTCTATAATATTTTTAAGTTTACCTAAATTATTGAGTACTTACATAATTTAATCGTATCAGTTTGATGCTAGCTTGAAACGTCACATCTAAAATAAAAACATCATAATAATTAGAAACATAATGCATTTCAGGCTTGTGTATTCTAGAAATAGAATCCACCCATCCATGGAATTCTAGTAATATAAGCTTACTAAATTCTTATTCTTATTTCTCATCTTAGAACATTTCCTCTCCAATACCAATGAATTAATATTGGTTGCAGTTGGTAATTTGCTGGAGTTTTTCTCGGAAACATTGAAAACGAATAAACATCAAATAATTGATAAATGAAGTGTTAGAGGCCATGATTCTATTGTTTCGTTTCCCATAATGCTGGTTTCCGAGAATTTTCCCCGAGGTTTGCAAATATTTTTCTACAGCTTTTCATTCGTATTTGGAAATATAGGATTTTTTAATTGGCACTCAAAACAATGACCTGTCACATAAATCGTTCAGCGCCTATCGCATTTTATAAAATCAAAAATTCGCACGTTTAGTAAAGTACTNAAAATAATAACGCTTCATTTTTACATGTGAAGTAATATCTACAATGTAGGTAAATATGAAGGTACATTTTAACACTGATTGTGTGGCATTTTATGTGCATGTAATAAGGGAGATTTTCTAACAAAAACAGGTTGATGTAGCTGTGCTCAACAGCGTTTGTAGTTATGTTTATCTTCAAGATATTGAGGCAATAAACTTCAGAGGTAAATAATATTGAACTTACTCTATCAGGTACGTACAGTCAGTCTCGAGAATGTCTAATGTATGTTTTAGATATAAGATTGATACGAAAAAGCTTGAAACATGGTTTAAAATCTGTAAGTGGGCTATTATGTGCATTTTTATATCAGTTTATTATGTTAACCTACGGTAACAAATATTTATTGATAAGGACTATTATTCTAGCTGTCATCAGTTAGCGCCACTGTAACGTAAGAGTCTCTTGCTAGTGGCTAAGATGGTGGTGCCAACTGGTGACCACTGAAGGCAGGAGGATAAATACATTTGCGTCTCTATACATTGATAGAGTAAGGCCCCGTCTCTAGATAGTGGCGTCTACTGGCGAGCACTGAATAAAACCACTTCTAGAGGACCAACGCTTTTGCACTAATTAAGATGGCATCTCTCTAGAGTAAACGTACAATCACACATGATTATTACTAGCATGAAAAAGCGGCCTACGTCCTGCTGTGCGTAGTTATTAGTGGCAATGGGCAGGGCACATGTACGCAGAACTGATGGCCGATGGGGCAGCAAAAATGCACAAGGTGGACCGACGACATCATAAAGGTAGTGTGTGGCGAAACATTTCTAAATAATAGATCGAGGTGTCAAAGCACGCTTGTTTTGAGCATGCTAATAAGCATGACATTTTATGAACATGTGTAACTCTACCTGAAAACCCTGTCACTCGCCAGTGACGCCAACTGTTAAGCACAAAAACTATAACCCTTACTTAATAACATACACTCGACAAAACACGACAAAAGTCGAACCATTTAACCAAGTTCGACTGTACTGCTACCGCAAGTACGCAATATCACTCCGATATTTGTATTGGCCAATGAATTACGATTGGTTGAGGTTGAATATTAAATTTTCCTCCATTATGTGGGCATATTGTGACGCGTATACATAATATAATAAGATTTACGACAGTGGAAAAGTTTATATTATTTTCTCATAAAAATACTTTTAACAATAACTTATCCATCACAGCTAAAAAGAATTTAAACTGAATGATTAAATATACAGGTTGTCCCAAAAAGGAGTTATAAGCCGGAGCCCAGAGAGGTAGAGCATTACTAGGGCTATCCAAATCAGCCCCATGTAATTATGATCCGCGATTTTGATAGTTTTCGAATTATGATTGTTTTAAATTTCTGTGCTTGGACACTTTTTTGGTCACTGTGGCGCGAATAGTCAAGTTACATGCCTGATTTTTTATTGTTATTAGATGAATACTAGGCCTAGCTGACGCAGAAGTATTTACATCCATAACACAAATGTAAACTAAAATATAACTCGAAAACTATCAAAAGGCTTCGGCTTGACATTACTTTTTGGGACAACCTGTATAAATAAAAGTACTTTCCCATATTTACGTAATTTTTTTTTGCTATTTGGATTCTATGGTCGTATTCTACACTTTAATCCGGGATTATATCCAAGGCTAGACTGAAAAACATTTACAGGGCAGATACTTGTATGTATCATCCTAGACTGCATCTCAATTAACACTAGGTGCGATTGCGGTCAAATACCTGTCTTGTTATGCATAAAAAAAACATTTTGTTGAAATATAAAATTATTGTTTTAAAATTATCAAACTACCGTGCAGTGAAATCGTCCGTCTGACGTCTAAACTATCGAATATTGTAATACTCACAAGTAACAATCGAGCAAAAATTTGTTAAACTACGATTCGGGACTAACATAGATTGATTTACATTTCAAAACTCTACTATTGTTTCCAACAGTATCAAATGGGTGGGTCTGCAGGACCCAAAGTCTAAATCTCATGATACGAATGCAGGTTTCACATGCAGATCTGTGTTGAACGTATACCGTTAGGTGCGATGCACACTAGACTAATATGAACTACGAGGGATTTATGTTTTGGAAAAGAACCTCTAGAGATATTACTATGCTGATTCAGAATACACTTTGTGCCCTTTGAAAAAAGAACTGATTGAATTGTCACTAAAAATAAAATGCAACAAGGAAACTTCAGTAATATTTATGGACCACTTCTATTGTATTTGATTTGCATATTGCCCATACTTTAGGTGGACCACCGGCAAGAAAAAGTGCCTGTAGCCCACCGAACTAAGGCAGGTGGACCGCGAACGAACACTGATAAGAAAATAATGAAGTGCAGTCCTTTACCGCCACTCTCTCACACGCCATCTCCCACCAAAAATAGTAAAAATGATCTCTTATTTATTTTGAGCTATCTTCGTAAGATCCATGATTCACCATGCAGCGGGGTATAATATTAGGTATATTGCGATACTTACAAAAATTGTGCACATAAAAACCATCATTTTAAGTTTCTATTTTGCGCCTAAGAATACTCTCTCAGTATGTCCAAGCTTAGTCCAAGATATCGCAGCATCGCAGTCCAGTGCAAAGCGCTTTGTGCATCACGGACGTCATTCGATTTGGACGTGTCACGGACGCGATGCCGGAATACAAACGTATTTTATTGTGCGACTTTGGAGTTTGGACATAGGTGGCGCTGTGTGCTACGTGATACGGACACGTCATTACTTTACCTGCATTTCATTTGCACTATTATGTTTTCAAAGCAGTGGTTAAATCGTCTAAAAATAGTATAAATCTTAGGTTAGGTTTCCTTGCGGTTGCTGGAAATTGAGTATTTTATTTAGGTAGTACTGAGAAAAGGCCCGAGGAAAATAATACATATTGCTTTGTTGTACAAGTACCTATACTATGCCTACAAGTGTAATTATTTGTCGCTTTATTTTTAGTCAACATGTCAGGGGCATACCTATTTTTGTTATGTATTTTAATTACAGATTTTCCTATTAGCAATAGCAAACACATTTTAATGAAATGAATAAGTAAATATTGTTCAACACTCAAATCAATTACCTAGCATCACGGTCCATCAATAATCAGACGTCTACCATCCCTTAACCCTTGGTGAAAGCCCGTGCCAAAATATTTCACGGTCGAAATTTAAGGCGATTAGTGTCCTCANATACACTTATCTGTCGACTTAATTTAATACTATTTTACTTAAGAAAGTTTGTTTATTTCCATTTGATAAACATGATTCTCAACCTTTCTCACTTAGGAGAACGCTCCCGGGAACGCTCCCGAGAATATTCTCAGTTGAGAGAGCGTTCTCGGGAACGGCACATCAATAGGCATGATGGACGGCGTCCGCGCCGCTTATAAACCAATAGAGCTGTCAGTTCATGATTTGTTTGGCTATTAAGGGTTTAATCGTTCCCATTATGGACGTGTCCCGAATTCTTTTATTCAATACATTTTGACCATTTCATCCAATTGTGAGATGCCACTCTTCCTTTTGTTTATTGGGTATACTTATTTAGAGTTTGACACAAGATATTTATAAAATCAGTGTTCCTTAATCATCATTTATTAAGCAGTTCCCTAATCCAAAATTGTTTTACTCCAAGATCTAGGCCCAGACCACCGATTTTTATAGGCCGATATTTTAGTCAGGTTGTAAGTGAGTATGGGCATATATGAAAGTGCTCATTACACCGATTGATTCTTCATACAAATTAAAATCAGGCCCAACTATCGGCCGACTAAAAATCGGTGCTCTGGCTTAATTTATAAAAATCATTTGCATGTTTATTTCTTACTTGAATACTTAGTATAGTTTCAATTCCACAAATTAATTCTAAATGTATTTAACTATGACATTTTAAAGATTTATGGTTATAAAACCACACGGCGCCAAACGGCCCTTGTCACTGACAAGCCCTAGAGCAAACTATTTCTGTAGTCCCAAAGATATTTGGATTGCCACTTTATCAATTATTCGAGTCGAAACTTGAGTAATTCTCGCGCACGCGCCGCTTGCGCCAGCGCATAACGCGGGAGCGAGGATTATGGCGCACGACGCGATCTAGGACGTATTTGTAAACAGATCTAGCTATGAACAGGTACAATTTTGACAATTTAAATAGAAAGACACGGGTCTTAACGCGACATTTCTTTATTTACAATCTTTCTATTTAAGTCGAAATGGAACGCGAAAGTTTAAAATCCTATAATTTTGTCAATTGTTTTATTAGGTAGGTACTTTTGTAATTAAAAAAAATAAAAAACTATTTTTGCACCTGAAATATAACTTGTTTGTAAGGACCTACAAGGTGTTGTGAATGGAAATAATGTGAATGACTGTTGATAAATAGTTATGAAATGAAATTGTAGCAAAATAGTGTAAATTGAGTGTTATCACAATGAAGGACGTTACTTAGGTCGGGCAAAGTCCGATTCACGGTCGATAAAAATATAATTTTTGCATCGCATCAGAACAGAAGTGATTGCAAATATTATGCGCATGAGTCACTGATAATATTATTATGACGTTACGTTACAGAAGAAACTTGATCATAGCAACTGCTTACTGACATTCGACCATATTGAAAAAGAAGATACAATAGCTCAAGGTATCGACAACGGACTACTGATTCGGGGGTCACTATGGTTCGATCCCTGTCAACCGCTGGAGTCCAGCTTACCACAATAGTCCAGCCGCTAGACTATTGTAGTAAGCTGGACTGCTTTAAGAACATCTTTAATTTAATTAGTTTAACTGGAGAGGTCAAAAGGAATATTAGTAGACCAAAAATACTAGATTTAAAATTTAAAAAAAAATCCTTACTGATAACTAACTTTCTATTGCTACAATAGGTACGCGTTATAACTGCGGGCCTTCGTCGCAAGACCTGCCGCAGTTCCATTACCATAAATATGGGGCCGGCAGTCACACTGTTGGTGCGCTGGTTACGGGCTCAATTAGTAATTTAGATTCGTTTGCATACTACAATCTAACATTATTTAGTTGCACTAATCTGCCACGATTGTGGACAAATGTGACAGGATAAGTGCTGAGTAAAATCAATAGCTATGAACGTAACGAGGTGTTTGCTAGAAGATATAAGAAAACATCACGAGTTTATAATTTATTACATATCCTATAGAACGATAGGTGCTTTTAGAAGTCTCAAAGATTTTAAAGGTTCTCGCATGGAATAGAAAAATATTGAAACTTTCGACGGGTTCATACATTGTCTAAGTAGCTGAGGAGCAGCTGCCCGGCAAGCGAAAGGCCGGTTCGATTCCCGCTGTAAGCAGTTCGTTTTTTTTAAGTTATTTAAAAATACTAACACAGAGAGAGTTTAGAATAAGCCGCTCTCTGTCTGACCTAACCTAACCACAGAGGCATTCAAGTAAAGCTGCTACGTATGAGATTGTCAAACGCTTAAAGTTTAAAGATATACCTGCAGACTTCTCTAACAATGGATTGCTAATAATAAAATTACTCACATCAGGCAGCGTGGCGACGAGCTCCACATTTCCGTAGTCCCCCTCAGCGAGGGTAGGGCTCTGCCACCACGTGGATGGGTCGCCGTCGACCGCGTGCGCCGCCGGGTGCCGCCGAGACTCCGGCCCGTCAGACCCCTCGCACACATCGCAGACTACGCCTCGTCTGGGGGAAGGTAGTCAGGTTTAAAGTGGAATATCATCACCAACCTACCTCACAATCTTCTACGATTTGACTAGAAGGAGAGTACAGTACCTAGCACCCGTAGTGTAGGTACATTCAACATAATAATTTGGCTAAGATTTTGTCTTTAAGTCTGGTATAATTTATTAGACAAAACAGCTTTCTCCGTAATCTTCTGTGTCACAACAATAATGCAGCGATAATGCTAAAGTAATCGGAGATTATTAATTAGTCGGAAATCCGGGATAAAGCTTACCACTATCTGATTGTTTAATCTGCAATTATCAATTTTGTTGCACTTTACCTAAACAATAAATAAGACAGATAAAATTGCTAGACTGAATATTTAACAATTTATCCAAAACCAACAATTACAAAACAAAAGGTTCTTCAAAAAAACACTTCATTCCAATTGTGAATTAATTTTCATTTGGCTGTATACTATAGATACACATAAACACGGGGTAGCGCACCGACGAGATGGTCAGATGCGGTAAGGAAGACAGTGGGCGGAAGTTTTTAACCGCCTCTGTGGTCTAGTGTAAAACCACCTGCTTCAGACGCAGAGGTCCCGGGTTCGATTCCCAGTGGGGGCAGATTTTTCTGTTCGGTTTGGTTGGTGGTAGGGCTTGTTCCACCATCTTACCTAAATCTGTCACCATAACAACAATGTTAACAGCATTGTTGTGTTCCGGCAATTAGAGGTAAGATAGCCAATTCCTCGTGGTTGAAGATTCCGGGTGAAGCTCGCTTCCACCTTCGGCCTGATTATGAGGTGAGACTTACCATCAGATGAGATATAGGCCAAGAGCTTCCTCGTTGTGGATAAAAAAAATGCATCGTGCGATTCACACAGCTTGTGACCGTAGTCTGTGGAGAAAAAAACCTGCATATGGTCGCGTTCCTCATCAGTGAGGGACCGAGGAAGATACGGTTTGTAGACATTCGACATACTTGCTAGGCGTGTTTCTGCAGAACTCCTCGGCACCACTGCCACCGCACGTGGCGTTTGCTGACACGCGAGAGTAAGGCGCCACATCCAGCGGCGCGGGCAGCAGGCCTAAAGGCTCGCTGTCACTGGCTGCTAGCAACTTGCCCACGGTGGTGCCGCTGAGACAAGCAATTCTCGACCTTTCATATTATACGGTGTTCGTATCATTCAGACATACTTGCCAGGCGTGTCCCTGCAGAACTCCTCGGCGCCGGCGCCGCCGCACGTGGTGTTTGCGGCGACTCGCGCGTAAGGCGCCACATCCAGCGGCGTGGGCAGCAGGCCTGAAGGCTCGCTGTTACTGGCTGCTAGCACCTCGCCCACTGTGTGCCGCTGAGACTAGCAGCGCTCGACCTCATAGCATACTGTGTTTGTAGCATTCAGACATACTTGCCAGACGTGTCCCTGCAGAACTCCTCGGCACCACCGCCGCCGCACGTGGCGTTTGTGGTGACGCAGCGACTGGCTGCCAGAAGCTCACCTTACTGTGTGTGCCGCTGAGACTAGCAGCACTCGACCTCATATTACACGGTGTTTGTATCACTCAGACATACTTGCCAGGCGTATCCTTGCAAAATTCCTCTGCGCCGGCGCACGTGGCGTTTGCGGCGACGCGCGCGTAAGGCGTTACGTCGAGCAGCGCCTGGCTGCTAGAAGCTCACCTGCTGTGTGCCGCTGAGACCAGCAGCGCTCGATTTCATATTATACGGTGTTCGTATCATTCAGACATACTTGCCAGGCGTGTCCCTGCAGAACTCCTCTGCGCCGGCGCCGCCGCACGTGGCGTTTGCTGACACGCGAGCATAAGGCGCCACATCCAGCGGCGCGGGCAGCAGACCCAATGGCTCGCTGTCGCTGGCTGCTAGCACTTCGCCCACTGTGGTGCCGCTCAGCCGGTCTAGCAGCGCTCGACCTGGGGAAAAGGAACTGTATTAATAAAAGCCAGAAAGTAAGATTCAACCCATTGTCATTGCGACTGTAGCTATCTTTCACCCACGACACTAGACTGTGGGAAAACGGCCAGGTGGACATGGTGAATGGTTCCTTGTTAAATACAGAAGCATAAAAAGGTAGAATTCCAAAACGAAGAAAGTACTAACTATTGCTCTTTACTATCTCTAGTAGAGGGAAGGTCGTAACATGATTGTCAAAAAATATACAGGGTGGAATTTTGTAATGCCACCTGGAGGGAAAGTACTCTTAATACTGTAGATAGAAAATTTTACTCAAAGAAAACATTACTTCATTTTTTAAAAGAAAGAGAACTGCATTCAAAGATTTCCGAATTTTTTTCGAAAATTTACCACCATAGCATACAATTTTCTGTAGACAATTAAAATAATTTGAGATTTCATGGTTTTCCATTCATTTAATTTATTAAGTTTGAGAGAGATTTCATCCTTATACTTAATCCTAACGATCGATGCAATAAAATACAGGGTGTAATTTTTAACAGATTTTAGTTGGTTCGATTCCCGGGTGTGGCAAGCATATTTTTGAAAAATTTTCTGTCTACATTATTAAGAGTACTTTCCCTCCAGGTGGCATTTCAAAATTCCACCCTGTATAGATTAAAAAACACAATTACTAAGAAATTGACCCTAAAATCCGTGGAATCGACATGTGTGGTCAACCTGAAAGTATCCATTGAAACGACAATTTTTCACATCAATTAGGCTCAGACGTTTAAAAGCAGTAAATTTGCTGAGGCTTAAAAGAAACTAATTAACTAAAGGCTGATTAACGACTCACACGAGAGATCAAGTGAGCATTAAAGTCCGGTAAAACCAAATAAGCATCTACCTACGTAAAATAATGTAATCGTATACGTTTATGTGTATTGACAGATTTCGAAAATAATATAAGAGGATACAGCGAAATTAAGTAATGATTTTAAGTCCATGGGTCTTAAAACTAATTTGTATTCTGTTGCTGTACCTAAATAAATAAATAAATAAGGTTCGGCCAAACCAACGCGATCAAACGCGATCAGCTTGCCGGCGTGCAGCGATGGCGACCAGACTTAAATGCATTGATCGCCATCACTGCACGCCGGCTGATCGGGTGTGATCGCGTTGGTTTGACCGAACCTTTAGTCCTATTTGTCGATTACAATGTGAAAACCTTAACTAAAGCTTGACATGAGGAGAACGCACGCAATATAAAGTATTCACAGAGTTCTACTGGTTCTACAAATAGGTAGATGTTGATCTCAATGGCGGAAATTAACAGCTTGTCAATAAATGTTAACAGCCAATCCACAGGAAAAGATAACACGACGCGACAAGACCCTAATTAAGTATTATTGCCGAGAGAGACATCTAATTTGCGTGTACCTGCATAAATGACTAGTTTTCCATGCCTGGGCACGGCTGTTTCATAGCAATTAGGTAAAGGGACGCATGCGTTGATAGGACGTCCCGTAACATAACTCTCGGCTTTCTAAGGGCCGCTTAAACCGCTTAATGCGCAGTGCCAGGTTTGCGTCGGCATGTGTGTGAATCACGGTCTTGGGCTTAGTGTACACTTCCTTATCCAAATGGTGGTTACCTAAAATAGGTATCTTCCATAGGTTAAGTAAAGGTTCCTGACTGTCTATTATGATTTCCTTGCCTCTAGAAAATGCACCATTTAGAGATTTCGATTCGATGAAATAATACTACTGTTTTGTACGAGGAAATGTAATAAGAGCAATCACGACATCCAGATCAAATGTAACAAGCATTTGACTCATGATGGAAGAGATCTTGGAAATAGGTATTTCTTGCAGTAACGAAACGGCCAAGGGACTTAATTTGACTTGATGATACTGGGACTTCATAGAACCAGAATAGCCGCTCAACGCAAAAAAAAATATTTAGAGTTTGTGAAGTTGCAATGTTAAAAACATGGCTCTATACGAGATTTGATGACATACGTTCTCCTCATGGTAACATTTTATGTGAAAATGTTTTTGGTGAGATTAATTTATACAACTTAAACCATGTGCACACAGCCTTGATCCGCGTAGACGTACATCAACAGCTTGCCATCTGGCCGCTCTTCACATCCGATAGGTTTATTAATTTGTATGCCTTCATTATGGCGGTGGGAATGTGGGGACGCGCGTATGAATAAATTCTGTAAGCGCGGTTTATGAATGTTTGTGGTGGGTATTGTGCAGTAATAAAGGGCAGGGAGCTTTATGACGCTGAGGTGAGACGGGCTGAATAGTGAAATTCAACTAGCACAAGCTTTCTGAAGGTAGTTCTGAGCTGCTATTTATATATGAATTCAAAGTTATCCCAACTAATATTATAAATGCGAAAGTAACTCTGTCTGTCTGTCTGTATGTCTGTTACGCTTTCCCGCTTAAACCTCACAACCGATTTTGATGAAATTTGGCATAGAGATAGTTTGAGTCCCGGGAAAGAACATAGGATAGTTTTTATCCCGGTTTTTGAAACAGGGACGCGCGCGATAAAGTTTTTCTGTGACAGACCAAAATCCACGCGGGCGAAGCCGCGGGCGGAAAGCTAGTGTGCAATAAAGGCATAAACACCACCCATATGGAAACAAATTAGGTAAGGAGCTACTTCATTATGTGGCCTCATATGCCTGGAAAGTTTAAATACTAGTAACCTAAGACGCATTAGCGATTGACTAAAGGAAATAATGCTGCTCTCGATCAGTTGCAAAATAGAATTGAATGATCTAGTGAACGTGACGAAGTGACATTTTGATCCTCTCAAGTTTCTATTTTTACCGTGGAATTTGAACCAAATGTGTGTATAAATTCTCAACTTTACGGCACCTTGTTATGAGCTCGTGTAGTATTTCAGCTAGCAAGTAATTCCAAGTCATTCTGCTAGCAGACTAGCTCCGGTGTTTATTGCAAGCAAATGTAAGGCACGCACAGTTTTAAATAGCTAAATGTAAGTACGAACGTAAGTTAATGCTTCCAGAAGTCTGCAAGTGAAAGCGTTCTGGATTCACAATAGGTGTTACATTATAATAAAAATGTCAGTTTGTTGGTTTGAAAATTCTTCACAGTTTTGGTCCTGAAAGAATTGACGTGGTTCAATATTTAACACGTTGTTAATTTTATCACTTGAAGTGTTTAATTAAATACTTTCCCATAGTTACAATTTTAGGAGACGTTCCTAAAGATGAATTCATGAATAAATAAGACTCATAATTATGTATTTTTAACCTTCTCGTTTTTTTTACTACTTGAAGTATTTTTGAGCGTTACGACATCAGCATCGATCCCATATTCCCATCGAAATGAATCGCCTAATAAACTAAGTATACATCTTAGATTTCCGGTGAACTTGGGGTCAAATCAACCCAACAAAATGGTTGGTTTGGTAAAATACCACACATAGTTTCCCACTTCAGCGTCAGCCATCTTTGGAGACTCGAAAGTGCGTTAATGAAACGTTTAATTAAGTAAACAAGCCTCTATCTACTCGTATTCATTAACCGGTCCCTGATACCATGTTATTAATACCTTTTGTTTAGTTAGACTATGAAGATGTGTGGCCCAAAAACTAACCTTTACGCAATAGCTAGAAGGCCTTAGAATCAGGATTTCGGGTTTGTATGAAATTTTAGTTCTCAAATGGTACTTATCTTCGCTTACTCTTTCTTTCAGCACCCATGTGCAAACGCGGTCCCATTTTTCAGACTCCTCAGTTCCTCAGCCCTGACTAAGAATAGGTTTCTAAACGTAAACTTACAATCATGTGAATCATCGCGCGCAAAAATATTAGAATTTATTAATATTTCCGCATTTTTTACTTTGCTTCCTGTCTTCCGAAAACCCTTTACTTAGTTAAGTTAACTGTATTAGACATCCCGACTTTTAGTCGGCTGATAGTTTGGTCGGGCTGTAAATCAGTATGAACGGGCATGGAAGTGCGCACATTACACCGATTAGATATCGGGCGATTTCTCATAAAAATTTGAAGCTGAATTATCGGTCGACTAAAACTCTATAGTCTTAATGTAAGCCTGTGTTATGAATACGGGCTGGAGGCCACCGCGGCCGTGGGACGATGGGAGCTGGTCGCAATTAGACGCATTCCTGCTTTCGGGAATACCTTGGCTTTCCGGAATACTTTAGGCCCTTAAAATTTTCTGTTTTAAGAAATAAAAGTTTTCTAGAATAAGCGAATACAAGTAACTGTTAATTTTATTCGAATTTCGAGGTTGGCAGTAACTCAGTAAGTATGCACAGAATCAAACCACTCATCAATAAAACAGTGTAAGTTATTATTAGGCAAGGAATGCTCTCGCTGGCTCACCTTATTCCGAGACCGATAGAAAAGCGAAACACTTGGAATATCCAAACTTAACAATAGAAATTATCACCGTAGGTACTCTACATTATGTTCTGACAATTAAGTCTTGTTGCAAAATCGCAACTAAGTATTATTATGAGATCTATATTGTACTTAATGTAAAGTCATCAGTACTTAAAACTTCTGTGCGTCGAGTCGTCGACTCACACTTGGAATTTTTTGTTTGAACACGAAGGTTCTTAATTAAAACCTCAAGCCTCCCATACGGCTAATAACTTCGTGGCTACTGGCTAAATACACCATTTGTATGGAGATGATGTAGACGATATGATTAATTTTGGAATTAATAACCCCTTAGCGCTAACGACCGTCGTTAAGGACGGGTTTTATAAAGTCATTTATTCCAAATTGTCAGCCATTGGAACATAATCATAAAGCATCCTTTACTTTCTACTATCTTGCCCTTCGTTAATAACGAATCTTAGATGCCCAATCATGATCGTGATTAGAAATTTAATAATGCCTGTGACCGATGCAGAGATTGATGGCCAACTTAAAGGATAATGATCAAGAGACTGGAAAATTCGATGCTAACGAACGCGATCCAGAACAGGTTGACAAGCCTACA